TGAAAATACCCTCATTTGTTGGGTTATTTCTTTTAGGTTCTAATTATGCTATGAAGTTTGTCAATGGACGTTCACTCAAGTAAGTGGAATGTACTTACGTGAAACTTAACTCATTTGTAACTTTATCTGGACAAGTGCTTACGTTTAACTCAAATGCAGGCCCTTTGGACGTTTATGGTGGGATGAGATTGTTAACACAGTAGTGACAAGGGCAGAACCTCACAACCAGGTTTTTCTTTTTCTTCATTTACACATGTCTGCACGAATGTATGCTTATAGGTATATATGCATTTACATAAATAGATAGAGGGTATTCATCAGTTTGAAACCGGACCAAACCCAATTGAGAGCTGATTAAAATAAAGGTTGGGACTGAAGACTGGTTTGCTATCAAATTAGTTTATTTAGATTAGACCGAAATAGACTAATTTTTATTAGTCTTTTGGTGTTTGGACCGAGGACCGAACCAAATAGTGCTTGGTGCTGTTTGGTCTGGTCAGGTCCTGCCCAGTTTCACGGTTCGAACCAGAATTTGAACACTCTTATAAACATATGTCTATGCGATTAAGAATAAACCGGATGGAACAGGAATTTAAACACCTCCATATATGTTTATATAAACTGGATCGTGGGTTCAGAAGTAATCTATGCGGTAAATATATTTGGTTGGTTGTCTCCTAAACAAACTTCTTGGCAGTGTATCCTTCATCCTGAGCAAGATCGTGTACTAACAATACGTGAGAATGCAAGATTACAAGGATTTCCAGATTGCTACAAACTTTATGGGCCTATCAAAGAGAGGTATGTTATATATAAGAATTAAAGAAATGCAGTTTTGATGTTTCGAACAAATCTCAATTCTTTACTTTGTAGTTAAACTAATTGTAAATTTACGAGTAAATTTTATGAAACTTCTAGATTTCGTTCCCAAACATGATCTAAGATTTTACTGATTTACAAGCAAAATTTACAGTGCATGTTTTCAATGGTCAGGTATACTCAAGTTGGAAATGCAGTGGCCGTTCCAGTGGCTACTGCATTAGGGTATGCATTTGGTTTGGCAAGCCAAGGATTGTGTGATGATCAACCTTTGATAGATTTGCCTTTTAAATTTCCCAATTGTCTCAAGCAGTCTCCACAGAATGAAGAAGATTCTCATTGAACTTTCATTAATTCAATTTACATTTTATATTATATTCTTCATGGTAACATGAACATGTATGATTATTATCAATACATTTATAATTTCTGGGTTTTATTAGCTCAGTTATTATTGTTTTTTTTATTTATTATTTAACAATAACTTAATTTTTATGTTTTAAATTATAAACCACTAAAAAAAAAAAAACTATAAACCTTGGTGTAATTATACTCAAATCTTTAAGAACTTTAAGATACTTTATCATGCTAAATTTTCTCTTAAATTATATTTTATAAATAAGAAATTTACAACATACAACATTGATATATGACCTCAAATTTTTTTTTTTTTTTGAAATATGGGTTGGTATATATAAGGTCTAATTAGGGTATATATAACATTTCTATTGGTTAGATGAAATTTAGGGTTGGGACTTTTGGGTTTCTCCTAATCAATTCTCAAGACATGCTTGGTAGGGTTTGAGAGTTTAATTACCTTTACTTGTTACAATTTCCTTTAATCCTTCAAAATTTTTATTGTTTTTTGTTGATTATATATATATATATAAATATATTTTTAGTTTTATTGTATTAAGTTACTTAATTGATTTTTTTCTTTCTTTCATGAAGTTAGATCGATGATTGAAACTGTATATTCTTATAATGAAAAATGATAATTGAAACTACAATCGATATTTTGAAATTTCGGTAATAAATTTAATTTATTATTTTATTAGTTTTTTGGTGATTGACATATTTTGATTAGGGTTTATAAATTTCGTTAGTTTATTTTACCTTTTTATAGTTATTTGTTTATAATATCCAATAGAATTTTTTATTCTCTTTTTATTAAGTTCATAAATATCTAAATCGAAATATAAATTAAGAATTAAATTTGTACGTTTCACTGATAAGATTGATGATAATTGAAACTTCAATTGGGATTATAGAAATTAGGTAAAAAATTCCACTCTATCAATTTATTATTTTCATAATGATCTTCCGTGGTTAGAGTTATTGAGTTTATGCTTTTGTTAGTAAACATATAATATGTTTTCAAATATTATATATAATGATTCTTTTACTATAACATCAAATATATAATATATTCTTGTTTTTATTAGTCTGAATTGTAATATTGATTTATTTTTTAATAAAAAATTAGATATAAAACTAAAATTATATATTTTTAGGACAAAGCTAAGAGTTCAAATTAATGTTGAAATCTTGAAATTTTGGTAAGAAATTTACTCTATGGCTTTTCCATTTTCTTAGTAAATTGTATGCATTAATGCAAATATATACTTATAGTGAAATCTTTTATTCTCTTCTGCAATAGTTGATGTACAGTCCTTATCTTTTAGATCAGGTTGAACCAACTATTTCTCTCTTCCCATCAGAAGCTAGATCAAGGACCAAAACTGTATATTTTCATGGCAAGGATGACTATGGAAGTTCCATTCAAGATTTAGAATTCTGGTAATAAATCTTCTAATTAAATATCCCTCAACATCAAGAACTTTTTAATATATACACACGTTTGTGTGTGTGTGACTCCTTTTTTCAAGTTCTTCTCCGGTTAACCTACCACCTTTCCAGTAGTCAAAAGGTTTCAATATAGATCCTACAAATGCAGTGAGACAAATAAAATATAGCTATAGAGATACACGAATTCCTTATAAATATCATGTGCTAAGTAATTAGAAATCCTATAAATGATTTTGAACTCATTTAAAACTGACATTCTTCAAAGATCATTGGATTATTCACAAGCTGTGCAAAACATAACATTAAATATCTACATACAAAACCTACTGAATGTTGTTGCTAATCATTCTCTCTCTCTCTCTCTCTCTCTATATCTATGTATCTATATCATCCTTATCTTCCATCTAAAGCTGTAATAGTTACACGATTGGTAGTATCATTATTATCTTGAATTGAATACAACTCTCTTCCTCTTCCATAAGTTTCAGATACAAAACCAGGTTCTTTCGGCTGTGGAACCTCAGAGTCTTCTACATTCGATAGCATGACTAACACCGATGCCATCGTTGGTCTATCATCCACGGAATGCTCCACACATAATAGACCTACTTGGATGCATCTAAATACTTCATCTGAATTATATGTTTCCTCTTTCAATACTTCATCCATTAGCTCCATGGCACTTCCTTCTTTCCATAGCTTCCATGCCTGAATAACATCAATTATATATATATGTACATAGGTTCTTATCTAACTTAGTGGAATAAATAGTAAAGAAATTAAAAAAATATATGTATAGGTTGGTATTAGGTATATGTGTTTACATACATGTCCAATAAGGTTTAAGTCATGATCAGGGTGAGTAAAACCCCAATTTTTCTTTCCACTTATTATCTCCAAGATTAATACGCCGAAGCTGAATACATCTGATTTTGCTGAAAATTTTCCAGCGAGTGCATATTCTGGAGAAATATAACCACTGCACACACATATATGTATAGGCCAAGAAAAGAATAATGTGTTTCTCATGATACATATATATATATATAAATATATTATTTGTGCATGTGTATGCATATGTTTGTGCATAACTAGGCAACTTACAGTGTTCCAACAATTTTCCTGGTGGTCTCTTCTGTCTGATTTCTTCCAAAATGTTTGGCTATGCCGAAATCTGAAATTTTCGGGCTCAAATCATGGTCTAATAATATGTTGCTTGCTTTAAGATCCCTGTGAATTATAGTCATTCGAGAATCTTGGTGAAGATAAAGAAGTCCTCGCGCTACACCAATGATAATGTTCAGTCTTTGTCTCCATGTGAGTAATTTCTTTTTTATTCGATCTGAGTCCAAAGCATAAAGTACTCAAGAAAGTATATCAAGGAAGAAATATTTGTTATACGAACAAAAATAAATTAATTTATAAATTTTATATTTTTTAATAAATATATATATATACATATATTTATTAATTAAGTGATACATAAATGCCATTATAATATAACTTGATAATGAAAACACAATGAAGCACACAGTTTGACTCAAGCAACTTGTTTCTAAGGCTTCTAACTTGCTTATCTTTGTAATTTTCTGCATATATATATATATAATATTTATACATAAAGTAATTTCAGTCAAGGAGATACATTTGTGTGGATGATAATTTTCTAAAGAGAAAAGCTAGGCACTTTCAGTTGCTTATGTTTTTTAGGGATTCCATATACCATCTACATATATTTATAAATCTAGCGAGAACTAAGGATATATATATATATATATATATATATAATATGTGTGCTTGTGTGTGTGTGTAGGTATAGCAAGTTTGAAATGGCCAAATTACCAAACAAGAAACTGTTCAAGCTTTTGTTTGGCATGTACTCATAGACCATAATCTGCTCGTCTCCTTCGTCGCAGAATCCCAAGAGCTTGACAAGGTTCCGGTGCTGAAGATTTGTGAGCAAAACAACTTCATTATGGAACTCATCCAACTCTTCATGAACATAATTCCTTTTCAATAGCCTCTTCACAGCTATTTCCTTTCCACTAGACAATACACCCTGCATGTATATGTACAAGAATATGGATTTAAAATATCAAAATTATAAAAACTTCTTTAAAATTATCGAACCGAACACTGCTAACAATTCATTACGTAAGTTTAAGTAGTTAAATTCGTGGATGATTTGAATCTTTATAAAAAGAATATCATACATCAAACATGTACATTTTTATTGACATTATATTGTGAAATATAAAAAAAAATACCTTGTAAACTATTCCGGAACCACCATGTCCGAGTTTTTTGTCCTCGGAGAAATCATCAGTTGCATGAGAGAGGACATCCAGCTGATAGTAAGGTAAATTTACATCGCTTACTGAGTTTCCCTTATGGTTTTGAAATGTCATATTTATAATTATGAGTAGTTCTGTAGAGAGAAATCAAGAATGAAATTAATAACTCAATGCTCCTATATATTGTAGTATATACAGTATCACATATATATTGGTTTGATGTTCTGAGATGATCTAATAATGATATAAATACTTATGGAATATAAGGTAGAATCAAGCAAATTTGTCAATCTCTGAATCAGGTTTGGATGAAATTAATAATTAAGTATAGTCAACATTTCTACCAATT